CCAGCCATGAGCATGGTATGTTTTTCCATTTGTTAACATTTTCAGCTATTTCTTTTCTTAGAGTTGCATAGTTGTCTTTGTAGATCTTTCACGTCCTTTGTTAGGTAAACTCTCAAATATTTCATCTTCTCTTTGGCACTACTGTAAACAGAATGGAGTCCTTGACTGTTTTTTCAACTTGATTATTGTTGGTACATATAAAGGCTACAGATTTATGAGTGTTGGTTATGTAACCTGAGATGCTGCTGTATTCCTTGATCACTTCTAAAAGTTTTGTAGTAGAATCCCCGGTGTTTTTCACATATACAATCATATCATCTGTGAAGAGTGAAAGTTTAATCTCTTCTGACCCTATCTGCTTGATCTCCTTTTCATCCCTGACTGCGATGGCTAAGACTTTCATTACAATGTTGAAAAGCAGCGGAGACAATGGGCAATCTTGCCTGGTTCCTGATCTAAATGGAAATGATTTCAATTTAATTCCATTCAATACAATATTGGCTGTGGGTTTGCTGTAGATGGCCTCTACCAGTTTAAGAAATGTGGCTTCTGCTCTCGGAAGCTGCGCCACAGGGGACGGAGGGATTGACTGAGCATTGTGCACTGCAGCTTTCAGCCGGACACCAGCGCTGGGGACACGATGTCGATGTCGCTGCTCTCTTGCCGGCTGCTGTGGGCCACCACCTGCCTGGCCGCGCTCTGCAGTGCTATCTGCGGAACCGAACACGACCCTAGTCCCGCTCGGGACGACTGTGGAGACCACCACCAAGATAAACACGACCCTGGTGACAACCCCCGCACTGGTCACCACTCCGGTACCAGAAACCTGTGAAGGCCGAAACAGCTGTGCTTTCTGTACTAATACTAGCAATGTTAATACTACCTGCTTTTGGATGGAATGTAAAGATAAGAGCTATTGGTCACATAATTCAACAGTTAGTGATTGTCAAGTGGTGAATGCAACACACTTTTGTTCTGCTCCTACTACCATTCCAGCACCAACTAATTCTACAGCTGAAAACGCAACTCTGCCTTCTTCCTCTACAACTTCCACAGTTCCTACATCAGGTCCAACAAATACCACTTTGACTCCAACCTCACAACCTATTCGGAAATCTACCTTTGATGCAGCCAGTTTCATTGGCGGAATTGTCCTTGTCTTGGGCGTGCAGGCTGTAATTTTCTTTCTGTATAAATTCTGCAAATCTAAGGAACGAAATTACCACACTCTGTAAACAGACCCTATAAATTAACAAGGATTGGTGATTCATTCATGTAACTCAATGAAACCAAAATACTATCTTTCAAGATGTCCCACATGGAAGACACTATTCCAGGATCTTTAAATTTGCAGAGGATGCTTCTAAGATACTTGGGAGCATTGTTGCTGAAGAAAAATAAGTTAAATCATTTTGTTCAACAGAAATATTTAAAATATTCTGCATGAATCCTCATGGCTGTCTTCTTTTATTTTAAATGGCTGCTGCTGTGGGATTATATGTTTTTTCTTGACATGCCAAACATAACGTTCTGTAAGTGATAGAAAATGTTGTCTTGTGCAGACAGCATCATGACTCTTGGCAGTCTAAAAAATGTAGTCATTTTAAGGCCTGAAAGCTGCATTATTTTCATCCTAACTCAAGATATAATTTAGTGAACAGAATTGAGAGTGTGCCAAATGAGTATCAATCAGGGTGGATTTGGCTATCATTTCAAAATTGGAACAAATTTACAAATTTAGCAGTACTAAACTATATAGACTAAAATTTTGTGTTTGATAAGTTATTTTTTCTACATTAGAAATGTCACACAGGGAATTACATTCCAGATTTAAAGAAATGAGTGGAAAGGATAAAAACCATTAATGTGTAACAGGTTATTGTTCATACTTGTAAAGCACCTTATATCATTAAGAAAATAAAGATCAGTACCTTAAAAGACAGACTGAAAGATATTCCGTAGCTTAATGTTTATAATTTGTTCTTTCACATTAAGGAAGGTAAAGATTGGTCTGAAAATGTAATTGTTGATAATGAGCACTAGTAAACCTGCTTTGAGATTCCATACTGTTAATATTTAGTTGAAAATTTGTCTACTTTATTTCAGAACTAAGAAACTTAAGCTAAAGGATACAAAATCAAAAACTTCACATACTGAACTTCCCAACATTTTTCTTAGGGTTGTTGCAAACTATAGAGACAAAATTGATTACATTTCCTTTGTACTTCAAAAAAGTATCCTTAACTATATTGTAACTTGAAAGGATTTTCACCAAGCTATCTTGAAAAATAACTTCTTTCATGGGGTAAGAAGGAAATAAGTTGTAGATTAATTTACAAACTGTTCAAGAGAGACAATCATTTTAAGTTTTCAGACAGCAAATAAGACCAGGGTGATTTCAGAAAACTTAAGAATTTTTGATCGGATTATAGATTTTTGATGATTGCCCTGGATGAATAGACTGCTTTCTCTTTTTCTTTCTCCTTTCTCTCTTCCTTTTTTCTTCATTTCGGTCCCATAGTCTAATAGGCATGCATCTTTTCATTTCTATAGTTTTGTAAAGCACTAGTTTTGGGTT